CTGCGCTGGCCCGCGCCCTGCGGCGTGGGGGGAAAGGAGATCCGCAGGGGGAAGCGGGTTTTTGGGGTGGAGTTGGAAGCAGTGGATGGTGAAGTCATTCTGCGTTTCCGTGACTCCAGCTCATTGTTAGCTCTTTGTTACACGCTAGTGGCTGAGAATGAACTTGTCAAGATGATCACTTTGTAATGTAGAAACCTGAGTTACCCAGAACTCTGCCTTGCTTGTTGACATTGCTGCACCCCTATTCCTCCAGGGGTTCCAAGAGCGATTTAAGCCCCACTGTCCTAAGGCATCCATTGAATGGAATGAGTTGACTTGCTGTGCATCCAGAATGGTACTATTTCTGTGCCGTCCTTGGGAGGATTGAGAAAGTGGTCACTCAAAGCAGCGTCATGTTCTGTGGCTCAGATAAGGGGCCGTAGAGGAGAAAGGCTGCAGGATTTGGGATGTACCTTCTCCTTTATCTCTTGTTCCAGAAATATAGGGGTTACCCCAAAATAGGGCTCAGTCCTTTCTCCATCATGCTTTTCCTCAGTGATCTCCCTCTCTCCCCGCCTTCACAAGTTGCTTCTATAAATATGACTTCCTTGTCTATATGTGCAGTTTGGGTCCCTCTCAGCTCGCCTTTTCATCTGCTTGATGGATACTTTGACAGGGTTCTTTGCACTAATCTCACAGCATGTCCGTAAATAAAAGGAGATCTCTGATCCTGTTAATGGTGCCAAGCCACTCTCACTTGAAGCTCCGATGTTACCCTGGACTCTTTCCTCTCACTTGCCTCCAACTTCTGTTTAATCTAGGGCAGTGGTTCTCAACCTTCCCAATGCCGCGACCCTTTAATACAGTTCCTCCTGTTGTGGTGACCCCCAACCATAAAATTATTTTCGTTGCTACTTCATAACTGTAATTTTGCTACTGTTATGAATCGTAATGGAAATATCTGATATGCAGGATGTATTTTCATTGTTACAAGTTGAACATAATTAAAGCATAGTGATTAATCACAAAATCAATATGTAATTATATATGTGTTTTCCGATGGTCTTAGGCGACCCCTGTGAAAGGGTCGTTCGACCCCCAAAGGGGTCGCGACCCACAGGTTGAGAACCTCTGATCTAGGGGGTTCTACTATACACTTTCCAATTCCTCTTTGTATTTTCACCCCTACAGGTTGTAATGCTAATCTCCCTCTACACCGGAAGGGCTCTGCTCCCAGTCTTTTACTCTTCCACCCCTTCTCTCCCACTGCTTTCACATCAGTGCTCCAAGATAAAGCTCCAATCATGACATTTCCTTGCTTGGAAGCCTTAAGTGGCTCCTACTTATTAAAATAAAGAGCCAAACCCATTAGCCTGGCACTCAAGGGTCCTCCTAGACTGGCCATGTGTTTCATATAGCTTACTACTATTATGTCCCATGCTCCAACTACCTTCTCTATTCAGAGCAATTCTGTATTCCTACTTTTCCTCATGCTGCTTTCTTTTCCCATATTGTATTCCTTTCAATCCTGTCTTCATACTTTCTTACCCATTTGGAAATAATAGCTCTCAGATAGTTGGCAGGAGTGTAAATTGTTACCATCTCTTAGGAGGCAATTTTGCAATGCCTATTAAAAAATTCATAAACCTTTTGTCCCAACAGTCTATTTCTAAGAATTTACCCTACAAAAACAGTGACAAGGATATGGAAAGACAAGGGAGAAAGCTTACTGCAACATTGTTTGAAATAGCAAAAAGTGAAAATAACCTAAGTACTCATCCAGAGGTGTCTTAGTTTACTCGGGCTGCCATAACAAAGTACCATAGGCTGGGTGGCTTAAATAACACATTTATTCTTCACAGATATGGAGGTTGGGAAGTCCAAGATCTAGGTGCTGGCAGATTAGGTTCCTGATGAGGACCATCTTCTGGTCTTCACATGGTCGATGGAGAGAATTCTGGTTCTCTTTTAAGGACAAGAATCTCATCATGGGGGCCCCACCTTCATGACCTCACTTAAACTTCTGAAAGGCCCCATCACCAAATACCATTGCATGGAGGTTAGGGCTTCAACATGAACTTTTGGCAGGGACACACACATTCAGTCCAAAACAATAGGGTGTTGGTTAAACTATGTTAGAATTCTATTAACATAAAAAGAATGTAGTAGACCTGTATATGTTAATTTAGAAAGATATGTAACATATATATTTAAGAGAATAGTTGCAAAAAATACAACAAATATTTCATTTGTGATAAAAACAGGATTTCTGCATGGGTATGCAAAGACAGTTTCTTGAAGGCTGTGTAAGAACTCCAGAATGATTCTAAAGGCATGAGAAAGAGTATTTTTTACTTTTCATCTTTGTGTTTTAAATTTTTATAAGAGTAACATTTTTAAAAAAGGAAATGAAATGAAAATTTCATCCATTCTTCAAGCTTCAGCACAAATGCCCACACCCCCTTTAGGAATTGTTCCCAGACTTCTCTGGTGAAACTGGTCTTTCTGTCGTCTGACTTCCCCTCTGAGTTTCTGTTTCTCTAATGGCACTTCTCACATTCTTTGGTTCCCTGTTTTGAACCCTTTCACAGAAGGAGACTTTCCTAATTTATTGTTATATTCAGAAACTAGTATATGATATAGACATGCAGCAAATGTTTCTTATGTGAATAGAATAAGAACCCTTTCTTTTTCTTTAATTTCCCACAATAAAATACCTCGAACTTAGTAACTAAATGTATGCGAAAACATGAAAACTTGGACATTTCCAATAATTAACTAGAAGATTAGGGCAGGGTAGGAAGGGGCTCTATGAATTAAAATGTATACTATAGACAGGTGGGGCAAAAGTAGGTTTACAATTGTTTGGATGGAAAATAATACAATAATTAATAAATAATAATACAAGAATAAACTGTGTTTCATTTACTGACAGCTATAAACTTGCTTTTGTCCCACCCTGTATATTGTAAGGCAGGTGTGTTAGTTATTATTCCTTAAAGTTGAAATGTCCTTATTTGGGTGTTTTTGTTTATCTATAATACTTACGTTTTCTATATTTTCTTTTACCTATTGATTGATTTTTAGAGACAGGAAGAAAAGGGTGAAACATTGATTTATTGTTTCACTTATTTATGCGTTCATTGGTGGATTCTTATATGTGCCTTTAATAGGGATCAAACCCACAATGTTGGCATATCAGGATGACACTGTAACCAACTGAGCTACCTGGCCAGGGCTATATTTTCTTAAAGAGAGTTGCTCTTGTTTGCACTATAATTGAAATCAAGCCTTAAGCAATGGCATTGATTCTTAGATATACTTATATATACTTATTCACTTCCCATTTGATGGTACATCAGTGACAATATCCTTAAGTGCTCCACTTTCCCCATCATATATATATATGTAAATCCTCACCCGAGGGTATTTTTGCCATTGATTTTTAGAGAGTGGAAGGGAGGGAGGGGAAGAGAGAGAGCGAGAGAGACAGACAGACATCGATGTGAGAGAGACACATCGATTGGTTGCTTCCTGCACCCCCCACTAGGGTGGAGATCAAGCCTGCAACCAGATGCGTGCCCTTGACCAGGAATCGAACCTGCGATCCTTTGGTGCGCGGACTGCATGGACTGACACTCTAACTATTGAACAACACTGGCCAGGGCTCCCCGTTATATTTTTATTTCATTTGTGGAGTACTTCAGTTTTTAATTAGATCTTACCTGTTTGAATATTGCTTTTCAACTTTGAGAATTCCAAACTTTGTTCATGTATTTTTCAGGATCAGAATAAAAACCATACTATTTTATTTTGATCTCTAAAAGCTTATTTTGAATATGACAGCATGTTGTATTCCTCAATCTTGCCCAAATTTAAATCTGCGATAAAAATTATTCTTGGAAATTGGTTGTAAGCAATGTATTGTAATAAATGTATTCTATATAATGATCTAATTTGAAGTTTCTGATTATTACCAGGTTATGATTAAAGAGAGATGTTTTAGAGTTTAATATTAGTTTAAAAATGCTTGTAGAGTACAATTTTAATAATGTGATCATCTCATTTTTTTCTCCTTCTAAATCAGTGATTCTAAAATCTTACGAACCAATCATCAAACACTTTAGAAATTGTCTTGTACTTTTCCTGGTAGTAGTAGTGATTGATGGGTATTCATTTTAGACATTTTCGAATGCCTGGTACAATGCTTGCACTCCTTTTGTTCAAAGGAAAAGTATGAGGTATCACGTCTAGATTTACACACAAGACATTATACATTATTTTCTACAGTAAATTAAGATGTTGATCTCAAGAGAGGAGAAATTCTTAGAAAATTTCTCTCCTCTTAACAAATGACAAAACAGCCCCCCTTTTGCATGTAAATAATATCTCAACTATATACAAAATAAATGTTGAACCGTATTTTCACTTCCATAAAAATGAAAAAATATTTTTTAGGAATTGAGTTTAAAAAAATATATAATTTCTGCCTGCTTTAGAAAAGAAGAATTTCTTGCTTTCATTCAGTGATTGTTTCCCACTTTTAGGCCTCAGATTCCTTTCACAATCCATTGAAAACTATAAGTCCCCTGTTATGAAAAATACATAAACATACAGAATTTTGCATATATTAATATTCTTTTAATCTAGACTTTACATTATACTAGTAGCTTAAAAACATGTTTTGAGTGTTCATAATCCTTTTTTTAGAGGACACTCAGAGGGTAAAAGTTAAAATAAGAGAAAAGGATACCTGTACTACCTCATATATGTGTGCTGAACCCCACCGCCAGCCTCCTTCCCTGCCTACCTTCTACTCTCTCATTTCTGTGTCAACCTAAAAGCTTCCTAAATTTGATTTTTGCTTGGGGACAGGTTTAAGTGACACTTCTCCAGATGAAGGGTTAATAGAGGACTTGACTGTGGAAGACAAAGCTGTGGAGCAACTGGCAGAAGGATTGCTTTCTCACTACCTGCCAGATCTGCAGAGATCAAAACAAGCCCTGCAGGAACTCACGTGAGCTAACAAAAGCCAGAGGTGCACTCATTTCCCCTCTGGTAGAGTCATTTACTGTATTAAGGTGTATTATTTTGTAACATGTTATTCAATTGGGCATTTCTATATCTTTAGTGATAACAGATGGGAGTAGAGGAGTTCATAGTAATTTAAATATAAAAAGTGAAATGAATACTTCTAGGGCAGTGATGGTGAACCTATGACATGCGTGTCAGAGGTGACACGCGAACTCATTTTTTTGGTTGATTTTTCTTTGTTAAATGGCATTTAAATATATAAAATAAATATCAAAAATATAAGTCTTTGTTTTACTATGGTTGCAAATATCAAAAAATTTCTATATGTGACACGGCACCAGAGTTAAGTTAGGGTTTTAAAATGCTGACACGCCGAGCTCAAAAGGTTTGCCATCACTGTTCTAGGGTGTTTGGCTTCTAAGAAGTACCCCTAAATCTTATCTAGACTTTGATTAGCTTTTGGTGTTTTACCAGTATTTTATGAAAGCCTTGCCCATTGGGAATGTTGCAGGATGGGCATATACCTGTTTCTGAGTAGAATTACAAAATTGCTTCCGTAAGAGTCACATTTGTATTCAATTGCTGGCTCACGAGTTGCCAGAAATCCTTAGGTATCTTTTAAAAAGAATATATATTTAATTGATTTCAGAGAGGAAGGGAGAGGGAGAGAGAGAGAGAGCTAGAAACATCAATGATGAGAGAGAATCATTGATTGTCTGCCTCCTGCATGCCCCCTACTTGGGAATGGAGCCCGCAACCCGGTCATGTGCCCTTGACTGAATCAAACCTGGGACCCTTCAGTCTGCAGGCCAATGCTCTGTCCACCGAGCCAAAGCAGCTAGGGCCTAAAGTATCTTTTTAAAAATTTTTATATTCTTCTTATTTACTTAAAAAATATTTATTGTTGAGAGTATTACAGACGTCCCCATAGGTCCCCTTCACCTGGTTCCTGCCCCACCCCAGGCCTTCACCACCTATTGTCTGTATTCTTAGGTAATGCATATCCTATCTAATAAAAGAGAAACATGGTAATTCCCACTCAGAGAAGATCAGAATGCCCCTAAATAAGACTGACATTTCAGGATAACCTTGACTTCTCTGTAACCTATAAACAAAAGTAAATCATTTGCAAACTTTGAACTATGAATAGTAACAGGTTGCTTGCAACAGAGCTCACAACAGATTGTGACACACCATTGGATCTTGACCTCTGTGTCTAGTGGAGAAAATAGGTGGTGGTTTTGATCTCTTGAATTTCTAATTTTTAAGAGAATGGTAACACACATAGTGAATACACAGTTTTAATTTGACTTATCTGACAAAGAAAGTAAATTTCATATCACAAGGAAAACCTCTTTCCTAAAACTTTTAAAGAAAGGAAAAACGGTATCAACTATTTATCAGTGGGCTATTTTTCCCATGTCTAGAAAAAAAGAAGAGGAAAGGAAAAAACATGATTATTTTGAAAGTTTATGAGTCTGAATTATATTTACAAAAAATTAGAAAGAAAAGATAGAAAAAAAGAAAAAGCAGATAAACAAACTCTATCTTCCTAGGCTCTGAGGCTTTCAGAAAACTAAATATAAACCCTCATCTCTGAGCTCTCCTTTTTTCCATTAAGTAAGGAGCTTCTAATTCCAGCAGAAGGTTGAGCTATGATGATCTGACTTTGAGCAGCACTTGTATTTTCTCATCCTCTCCTTGTATTTGTGGGTCAAAAGAGAAGTCATTAGGGACTTGTATTTCCTGTCTCATCTTTTCCTTCCTCCTTTCTTAAAACTTTGTGGGAAATCAACTTTATATAATGCTGAAGAAAGCTGTGTGTACTAACTTCTGAAAAATCCTCCATGATTCTTATGTATATCCAGCTAGTCTTTTCTCCCAGGACAAAGACCAGAATGTATCTTAATATGGAAGAGAAACCACACTCTATGCAATGCTATATAATCTCCCTATTGATTGAATAAGGGTTATGTTGTTTTAATTTTCTTATCTATTTATAACCATTGCTTTGAAAACTGCCTATTCTCTGCATTCCCTACTCCATTGATAATTCCTTGGAGAAGAAATGTAAGTGAATTTATTTACCAAACATCATCACTTCAGGTATTTGCACCTATAGCCTTTGCAGTTTCATTTTTCTTTCTGAACTGTAACATCTTTCATTTTTATTTTATTTTTTATTAAATGTATTGGGGTGACATTGGTGAATAAAACCATAAGGTTTCAAGTGCACAACTCTATAACACATCATCTGTATACTGCACTGTGCACTCACCATCCAAAGTCAAGTCTCTTTCTGCCATAATTTATTCCTCCTTTGCCTTCTTTCATTTCCCCTACTTCCCTTTCCCTCTGGCAATCACCATACTGTAGGTCTGTGTCTTTTTTTCTTCTTCTTCTTAATCCCTTCACCTTTTTAGTCACCCAGTGCCCAATACCCCTCCTCTCTGACAGCTGTCAGTCAGTCTGTCCTTTGTATCTGAGTCTGTTTTTATTTTGTTTGTTAGTTTATTTTGCTAATTAGATTCATCATATAAATTAAATCATATGGTATTTGTCTGACTGGCTTATTTCACTTAGCAGAATAGTCTCCAGGTCCATTCGTGCTGTCACATGTGGGGAAGCACGGGACTTGGTTGGAATGTCTGGAGGATTCTCTGAAAGGTTGGGGGCCTCTGAGGGGACCTTGCCGAAGGCGGCAGCCACTACCTTGACTTTTCCAAACAAGTCCACCCCCCCAGGGTGTTTTGCTAGAATCTCTATGTTTACTAGTCTTTAAAGACCTGACCTTGTAAGAAGGATATACTTTCTCAAGGACTCTTGCCCTGCTGATTGTATCTAGACGTTAATTTGAGTTCAAGCTGTTGTTACAATAAAAAGCCAACGAGGCAGGCGAATAGGACTGCTTTTACTACTGAAGTAAAAGAGTCCCTTAGCCCTCTCTTTCACAGAAACCTGTGTTGGAGTAATCTGTTCATCCATTGCTCAGGGTCAGCTGGTCAGCCCCAGCAGTCACTAAAGGTAAGATTCCCTTATTTTTTATGGTCAAGTAGTATTCCATTGTGTAAATGTATCACACCTTTTTATCCACTCATCTACTGATGGGCACCTGGGACGCTTCAGATCTTGGCTATCTATACTAATAAAAGGGTAATATGCTAATTAGACCGGGAGACCTTCCGGACATCCTTCCAGACAAAGCCATGGTGGCGGGCCCGAGGCAGAGTTGGTTAGGAGCAATCAGGCCAGCAGGGGAGGGCAGTTGGGGGCGATCAGGCTGGCGGGGGGGTGGGTAGGTAGGGGTGATCAGGCTGGCAGGCAGAGGCGGTTAGGGGAAATCAGGCAGGCAGGCAGGCAGGTGAGCAGTTAGGAGCCAGCGGTCCCAGATTGTGAGAGGGATGTCCTCCTAGGGGTCCCAGATTGGAGAGGGTGCAGGCTGGGCTCAGGGGACCCACCCCCTGTGCATGAATTTCGTGCACCGGGCCTCTAGTATGTATATAAGTTCTTTGGTTAATCTCTTCCCACCCCTACCCCCCCTTCCCTCTGAGATTTATCAGTCTGTTCCATGTTTCCATGCCTATGGTTCTGTTTTATTCATCAGTTTATTTTGTTCATTAGCTTCCTTGTTCATTTATTTGATTTTTAGATTAAATTGTTGATAGATATGTATTTATTGCCATTTTATTGTTCATATTTCTTTTCTAATTCTTCCTTTTTCCTCCTCTTCCTTCTCTTTCCCCTCTTCCTCCTCCTCCTCCTCCTCTGCTTCTTCCCCCTTCCTCATCTTCCTCCTCTTTTCTTCCTCTTCCTCTTTTCTTCCTTCTCCTCCTCCTCCTCCTTCTCCTCCTCCTCTTCATATTTTTCTTCTTGCAGGGGTTTAAATTGGGATTGCATTGAATCTATAGATCAAGTTGGGAGGAATTGATACTTAATATTGAGACTTTTAAAAAAAATTTGATTTGAGAGAGAAACAAACATTGATTTGTTGTTCCACTTATTTATGCATTCATTGGTTGATGCTTGTGTGTGCCCTGACCGGGGATTGATCCTGCAGTCTTGGTGCATCGGGACAGGGCTCCGACCGAGCTACGTGGTCAGGGCCTTAATATTGAGGCTTTTATTCCATGTACTTGGAATATTTCTCCATTGTTTATATCTTTTTGAAAATTTCTTTCTTAATTATGTTAGTAATTTGTATATTTCTTTCTTTCTCATCTGTGTATCTTTTATTTTCTTTCCTTTTTGTATTGCCTTAGCTAGGACTTCCAGTGTCACATAGACTAGTAGTGAGAATGGACACTTTCCTTTGCTCCTGATCTTAGGGGGAAGACAACTAGTTTCTCACCACAAGTGTGATGTTAGTTATAGGTTTTTTAGACATTCTTTAACAAATTGAGGAAGTTCCTCTCCCTAGTTTGTTGAGAGTGTTTTTAATCATGTATGGTGTTGGACTTAAATACTTTTTCTGCATCAACTGATAGGACCATATGATTTTTTTCTTTAGCTTTCTTCTTTTCAAATATTGAGCCAGCTTTGCATACTTAGAATAAATTGCACTTGGTTGTGGTGTATAATACTTTAAAAAATATTTTTATTGATTTAGAGAGAGAGGAAGGTAGAGAGAGAAAGAAACATCAATGTGAGAGAGAATCATTGATTGGTTGCCTCCCATATACACCCTGACCAGGAATCAAACCCACAACCTGGATATGTGCCCTGACCTGGAATTGAAGTAAAACTGGACAACCAATGAGTCTGGGCTGCCTGTCACTACTTTAGCCAATTCAGCAGAGGGTTGAATCACATATGAGCCTTTATTCTAATACCGCCAGCAGTATGGGAGAGCAGCAGGTCAGCCACAAAAATCTGATCTCCAATCCCCCATAAGCCAGCTGCTTATATTGGGTTGGACAAATGTGACATGGGGAAGTAGGGATTACAGGGCTGGGGAAATAGGCAATGCGGGCTGGGGTGGGGCTCCATTTGACTAACAAGATTGTTAATTTTTCCATATTAAATAGTTCTTGAATGAGAATGGACATTCCAAGATTGACTCTCAGGTCCCAGGCATGTACAACTCCTAGCCAGGTTAGGATGTCCTTTTTTTAATAAGAATAAGGCAATCATGGTTAAACAGAACGTGTGGTGAATTGTGCTGCTGTGAACATATGGGTGCACATATAGGATGTCCTTTTTTTAATAAGAACAAGGCAATCATGGTTAAACAGAACGTGTTTAATATTTTTTATAACTATAGCTAGTCCCCAATATTCTATTTTTGCCCCTAACAGAACCAGCAACCCTTTGCTACATGGGATGGTCGCTCAACCAACTGAGCCATACTGGCCAGGACTGGTGTATAATTCTTTTTATACATTGTCAAATTTGATTGCCAATATCTTATTGAGAATTTTTGCATCTATGCTGATGAAATACATTGGTCTGTAGATTTTCTTTTCCTTTATCTGGGTTTTGATTTTAGGGTAATGTTGGCCTCATAGGAAATGCTCTTTCTACTTCTGTGTTCTGGAAGAGGTTGTAGAAAATGGGCATAATTTCCTCCTTAAATGTTTATAGGAAGTCACCAGTGAAACTGTCTGGTCCTGGTGCTTTCATTCTGGGAGATTATTACTTATTAATTCAACCTTTCTAGTAAATATATTGTTGGCAGTTAGAAAGACATGAGCAGAGTAGGAACAGTAGGCCAGGTACAGAAGGTCACTGGGGTGGAAATCCGTGGGTGCCTAGCAATGGACAAAATTGGGAAAACAAGTATTGGGGAGTGGGACTTTGCCCTCAGGGTGACCTTTCCTTCCCTAGCATATAGTTGGTCCCCTGACCTTTCATATTATAGGTCATGTGGTCCAGATCCTCCCCTGACCTTTTGTCCCCTGGCATGTCCCTAGTCAGTGGTAGATCTCCTTAGAGGAGGAACAAGAGGGCAGGAAATAGCCTTATATGACTCCCATACAAGCCCTTGCATGACCACACCTTGAGCCTTAAGCCCTCAGGACAATGGGGTTCTGACCCGCATCAGGAACAAAGCCTTCATCAGGAACAAAGCCTCAGGTACTGCGACAGAGTTTTGGTCAAACTAGAGATAACATCTAGATCTCAGCTCCAGGCCTAGAAAAGCAGCAAAACCTGACAAAGCGTGGCCATGGCTGACATCAGAATCAGGTGCAATGACTGATGACCCCCTGCCCTGGTGCTGACCAGCCAGTAGAGACCACGACCCGGAAAGGACACACCTGGTGACTGAGGAATATTTATTGAGATCCTCCCCTGAGAGCTAGCTGCGCCAAGATTCCCAACTTTAGAAAACAGATGAAAACCTGTAAGACAGATGATCCAAAGCTGGCTGTCTCTCTTGATTGCACACCTTTTCTTCCCCCTTTTTTCGCCTCAAGACACGTACCTTTGCTTTCTATCTCCTTAGGTCCAAGGGCCCTTTTTTGCTTCTGTAACTTGTTTCCAGAGTCCATGCAGCCTAGCTGGCTCCCTCTCCCACAGTTCACTTCTACCTCTGTGACTTTCTAAATCAGTGGTTCTCAACCTTGGCTGCACATTAGAAACACCTGGGAATCTTTTTAAAATCCTGATTTCTGGGCCTCATCCTCCGGAAATTCTGTTTCTTTGTTACGGGGTGGGGCCACAACATTAGTAACAAAGAAACAGAATTTCCGGAGGATGAGGCCCAGAAATCAGGATTTTAAAAAGATTCCCAGGTGATTCTAATGTGCAGCTAAGGTTGAGAACCACTGTACTACTATATTAGGAAAGTTGGTTTCTCTTTCTCAGTATAAGGTTTTGAATCAGAATTTTTATGAGTAACCTTCGAAATTATGTGGTCTGACCTTCTCACTTTATAAATGAAGAAATTTAGACCCAGAGAAATAAACTAAGATCACACAACTGATTATTGGTAGGGGAATCTTGTGATTCTTAGTCTTTTTTTCATCTTGCTTCCTGTTTATCCCTTTAGACTTATTATCCCTTGATATCCCTGCATTTTTTCCCAACTCTAAAAAGTCACTGATTCTTATTTTATTTGTGGTTTTCTTCCAGTTTTAATATAAATAAAATATCGAGTTTCTTTGGCAAGATAGCATAAAAAACTTTTTTGGGAGAATACAGAGAATTGCCAAAAATAACAAGTAATAATTTTAAATGACTTGGTCATTTTAGTTACTAGAATCGAAATTGAGGCAAGAATAAAAGATACATTTAGTTATCAGAATGTGGCTTTGGAATATTATTTTGAAAAAGATTATGCTGAACCTAATATGCTGTTTCTTTGGCAAGATAGCATAAAAAACTTTTTTGGGAGAATACAGAGAATTGCCAAAAATAACAAGTAATAATTTTAAATGACTTGGTCATTTTAGTTACTAGAATCGAAATTGAGGCAAGAATAAAAGATACATTTAGTTATCAGAATGTGGCTTTGGAATATTATTTTGAAAAAGATTATGCTGAACCTAATAAGCCTTGGAGAATCAATAAATTTCCAACTTAATTTCTACCTTCAACATTAAACAAGATGAATGTGATTCATTTTAATGAACCAGCACTTACAGTTTGTAATGTTTATTTTGGCTGTGTGCTTTTGTTTCAGACAGAACCAAGTTGTATTATTAGACACACTGGAACAAGAGATTTCAAAATTTAAAGAATGTCATTCTATGTTGGATATTAATGCTTTGGTAAGTATGATTTACTTGACATAGCTTAATGACATCTTTCTTGTTTTAGAAATAGGCTTGTCCCCCCAACTTTGTACATATGTATGTTTGGGATCTTTTCATCTACTTTTTTAAAGGGTAGAATTTGTCTTTTAATAGGAAACTTTGATTTACTTTATGGAACTTCTGTTGCCTTGAATAGTTATCTTTCAAACGTTGAACTTGTGATAGGAAATAGAACTTATAAAGTCTGGAATAGATCTTTATTTTTATAAAAGAGAACTAAAAATAGGAAACTTTTGGGATACTATTTTTCCCCTTAGGGAAAGTGCACCTCTTTTTATCAATTACCTGGTTTTTAAAATTTGTGCATCCCTTTTTATCAATTAAACGGTTTTAAAAATTCATATTTTATTTAATTGTATGGCATTTTCATAATGTTATGACAAATTAACTCTAAAACGGACCCTTTGAAGTTCCTTTATGGACCCTTTAAAGCTTTCAATATAAATGACAATAGTTGAATTTCATCAGAAGCTCTATAGCTTTTAGATGAGAGGAACTGATACTCTACTAGTATTTTAAGAAACAAGAATTAACAAAAATAAGGAACTTAGGACTACCTTTCTCTTAGGCATAAACATTACAAATAGCTTGTTTTGCATGATTTTTATGAACTTTCACGCATACCTCAGTAAATGGATTTTTCACTGGACAAATATGGCTTATTAATGTTTTCCTTTTATAACAATCAAAAAGGAAGTCCATCTCCTCTAGCATTAGGCAGAGGCCTGTGGTTAGTAAATACAAAGTTTTCTGCCTGTAGTTCCTGATATCTTGTGAAGGAGGCAGGCAAGGGGCAGAAACTAAGTCTTCCTCTTTTGTAGTTTCTCAGCACCATAGTGGTTCTGATTATCATTTAGGAACTGAAAACTGGAAGGTAGAGAGAGAGAGAGAGAGAGAGAGAGAGAGGGAGAGACAGAGAGAGAGACAGAGAGAGACAGAGACTGTAAGCTCTAGAGCTCACCAGACTATGACTTTACGTATAGCTGCATGAAGGTTGCTAGTATCTCTACCGACACTTCTCTCAATTTTGTTCCCTGGTTTTCTCTCTTCCCTTGCCTGAGAGTGAGGTGCTTTTTTGCTTTTCTGCCATCTCTGGGTGAGATGGGAAAATCTACACCTGTAACTCCGTGGGAGGAAAGGTGTCCTTACAGAGGTGGTTCTGCTTGGTCTGACTTCAGAAGCCCACGGGGCTCTCCAGACACGGTTTGCCTTTTCCTGATGGGCAGACACTTAAACTGTCCTTTATCCTGGCTTGGTCTCTCTCTTGTAAAGGCAGTAGAGAGAGTTTTACTTTTCTCAGATGAAACTGATAGCATTATTGGGTAGTTTTACCGAAATTTTAGGATTATATTGCATGTTTTTAAAGCAAAAATGTATCTGTATACAAAATAAATGCCTGTTGTATGGTCAGTAACTTTTTATCAATCTGAACTGAATCAAGTGTTTTCAAAATCCTACTAATGGCTTAATAAAATTTAAATTTGGACTTAAATTGTGGAAATAATTAAGGCTTTAAAAAATTTGACCAATTTAGGAAGAATGAAGTGTAATGCAGACATTGATTTATTTAACCATTTTGATATTTCAGTCTACTTTAATTTGACTTTTCGTTTACTTTTCCACGTTAAGTTCACTGAAGCCAAACACTATCATGCCAAGTTGGTGAATATAAGGAAAGAAATGCTGATGCTTCACGAAAAGACATCGAAGTTAAAAGTGAGTTGGCAGGTTCTTTTATATTCTTTATAAAAATAGAGGTGTAATTGTCTGTTCTTCAGTATTCATTTCTGACTTCTTATATATCCATGTACAATAATATACTTAATTCCTGGTACATTGTTTTCTTTTTTTCTTTTAAAACATCCTGTTGAAACCCCACTCTGGGCTTTTTTACTTATAGCCGAGCTTGTAGGCTCCTATTCTCTGACTATGCCACTACAATTCTCATTTAACGGAGTAACAATTATTTTTTTTTTGTTCCAAGGAGACCTTAAATTACCCACAATGAATTTATGTTAAATAGGAAATTTATTAATATGTATTGATTACCTCAAACGAAAGCACTTTTACTTTTAAACTAGGCCATAATCTGTAAACCTTGATTGTTCTCTTGTTTTTTTGAATTTTTGATATAGAAAAGAGCACTTAAACTGCAGCAGAAGAGGCAGAAAGAAGAGTTGGAAAGGGAGCAGCAACGAGAGAAGGAATTTGAAAGAGAAAAGCAGTTAACTGCCAAACCAGCGAAAAGGACATGAAAAGTTGAATGTGTGTGTGTGTTCTTCCCTCCCCTGTCCACGTGCTTTGCATTTAAGAAGACTTAAGTGCAGACTGAAGTTAAGGTAGTGCCTTATACCATTGTGTCCTGTTTTGAAATCCTTTCCCCAGGAGTGCTGTCTCTATATGTTCATTTTAGCCATTTAAGAGCTTCTTCCTCCCACCCACCCCCAAGTAAAAGACAATGTCACTTGGTTGGATATTTATGGGTAATTTTTTAATTTCTGTTTTACTTAATTTTAAAATTCATTATTTTGGCCTTGAGTCATTTATGAACTGGAAAATGGTTTGATTGTTTTTTTTTTTAATAGATTTTAAGTGGTTAAAAATTAGTATGAGTGTTTTAGCTTCTTAATAACTGTGGAATTAAGTTTCAGTTTCTTATTTTATGAAATGGCTTGTCTCTTTTGGAATACAATGCTGGTTTTTGGCAGTTGCCTTTTCATTGCTTGGTTACAAAGAAATGCCAGCTGTTTAATCACATATGCTACTGGAAAAGAGGTGATGGTATAAATCTTTGTGAAGAACATGATAGAAAAGTGTATACACAGTAAATAATAGCATCTTAGACATAGGCGAGGTGAGCACAATACCAGATAGATTCCACTAACCATAGGCTCTATCTGCTTCCTAGCATTGTTGCCACTTAGTTCTTCGGTAGCTGCTGGTTCAGAGTAGATTGTATCTGCTCCTAAAGTTTGGCAGGGGTGGTGGTAGAGCTGTCACACACTCAGATATGCTTAAATATTTATAATACTTAGTAAGAGTTGCCACACACTGAGATGGTTGTCAAGCTGATACGATAGTGAGCTCAACTTTCCAAATGGAAGGTCTAATCACTAGTTCTATCTTCTGATTTGCTGTGTGGCTTTACATGTGGTTACTTAAAAAAAAAAATTTTTTTTTTTATTGATTTTTTACAGAAAGGAATAGAGAGTTAGAAACATTGATGAGAGAGAAACATCGATCAGCTGCCTCCTGCACACTCCCTACTGGGGATGTACCCGCAACCAAGGTACGTGCCCTTGACTGGAATCGAACCTGGGACCCTTGAGTCCGAAGGCCTATCCACTGAGCCAAAACGGTTAGGGCTACATGTGGTTACTTTTTAAAAAAATGCTTAAAGTAGATTGATAGATACCAACTATCTAGTTTTGTAGATAATGACATAATTGTGGAAAATTGGTAAATAGCTTCTTCACAAAAGAGGCAGCATGATACCATTAGCGTTTTTTAGATATCCTCCCCCCAATATTATAAGTAGAAACTTATGTGAGGGAAATGTGAAGTTTCATTGTTTTAAAATTGAGAGTTTATTATTTACGGTTTTAGTATTCTTTAATGTCCAGCTGGTCTCCAGTTTGTTAAATAGAGACTGTACAGAATCTGTAAAGGTGTGTGATTAGAATGTATATTTTTTTATAGTCTACATTACATTTTTGGTAAGCTGGAGTCAGTGTCTCTGATCTCATATCAGGATACTTAATGATGGAGAAAGGCATTAGATTTAAGTTGCGTGCAAAAACTGGTCTGTTTAAAGGTTTAAATAGTTTGAAAGCCTTTTCCTTCTTTAATGAATGAATTATGATCTCACAGTTCACTTGACTTTGACCTTATGTTTAAGAATACATTTTATTTTAAAAGACTATATGTTGCCCTCAAATACTGGCTAAAACTGCCTAGGGCAGGATTCAGTAGTGCTTGCAGTACAATGTCACCTGCACGCTGAATGTACTCATTTATAATCTGACAAAGGCTGTGCATTGTTTCTCCGAGTGGTTTGTGGACCAGCTGCAATGATTATTTAAATGCTGGTTCCTGCACACCACTCCTAGTCTGCTGAAGCAAATCTGTTTGTGTTGCTTTTTAAAAAGAGTTTCCTCAAGTGATTCATGCATCTTAAAAGTGGAGAACCACTGGTCTAGTGGTCTAGGTCAGAGGTTCCCACACTAGGCTGCATATTATTATCACCTGGGAAGTTAAAAAAGCAACACACCCAACATTCAGGAAGATTCTTACTCATTAGTTCTGAGGTGGGGCCCTTGCAAATTTTAAAGAGCTTCCCACATTGTTCTAGACTATTTTAGTGATTTATATTTGTAAAGAGTGAAATAGTTTAAAAAGCCACCCAGTAACTTTTGGGATTAATCTTATGAAATAAATTCTGAACTGCTGCTTTTGATATAAAGTCAGGTTTAAGACTGAAATTGATAGCAGGCAGGAAATAAAGAACTCTGGTAAATCAGTTGAACGTTTGTGACCTGTATTAAAATAAATCATGTTTATTGAATGAATGACAGGGCACATGTGCTTTTAGAATTGTATTATTTAACTTTGGAGATTTTAAAAAATGCTATTTTTAGCCCTGGCACGTCCCATGCACAGAGAGGTCACTGGTTCCCATTCTGGTCAGGGCAGATGCCTGGGTTTTGGGCTTTATCTACAGTAGGGAGCATGCAGGAGGCAGCCAATCGATGTTTCTCTCTCTCTCTCTCCCTTCCTCTTAAAAAAAAAAAATCAATAAAAGCTTATATATTTTTAAAAATGCTGTTTTTTAAAAAAATAGCATCCACTATATGTAGGTCAATTGTAAATCTGAAGTAATTCCCTTGGGAATTAAATTAATTAAATTTAATTACCGTGGTAGTTAAAATTGAAAACTTTAGCTGTATTTCAGTAATATAGAAACATATCTTACTAATCTTGGACAGAACCCTTATACTGTATTTTTGCACAAAATAATGAATTGGTTTTTGGGTTGAAAAATAATTACCTTTGTTGTGATACTATTTCCCATGTACTGAACTAAAATGATGGGAGTTGATTGTGTGTTTACTGTGTAGGAGGTATCATGTAGATGTGCAGATGTAGAATGTAACAAGGATTGTATCCTTTGTGAGTTTTTGAGTTGTTACAGTTTATAAATGTATCACTTACACTCATGATTTGTCTGATTTTGACTTGTAAAATGAAGACTACTTTTTACACATTTAATTTAAAAAAGGCCTATAAATTATCCAAAGTCATTGACCAAGCACTATTTATTGTGTACATAGCACTGTATACTTCCCTTTATGGACATTATTTCAACCATTCCACTCCTTTGCTTTCCTCTCCTGTCACCTTTCTCTTAATGTTCTCTGAAATTTGTGTCACAAAATGACTAGTCCACTCATGTAGTCTTTTTCAGAAAAGTGGTAGAAAGTGTGAAAAGATTCTAGTTGAAATAACCCAACTGTATAAAGTTTTAATTTGAGAATAAAAATAATAGCTACTGCTTTTAGTAGTTTGGTAGAAAGTGCTTCATAAGGATCTATAGCCTATAAATAACAGAAAATTCCAACCAATAGAATATTTTAGGTCATGTTTTATATATATATTTTTAACTTGGGAGTTCTTGGACCCCTTGGAGGGACTTCTGTGGATGACCTTTGGAGGAGATATATATATATATATATATATATAGTGCCCCCCAAAATGTATACATACGCTTTGAATATTTATAAAGGCAGTGTTTATTAAAATACATTCCATTTTCAAAATTGAGCTATCAGTTATTAAACTATATATACATTTTTTTTGGACATCCTGTATATGATTTCCTCCAAAACAAGGATTCAGTGATTAAATCTTCAAACCTCACTGTGCACATATTTTAAAAAGTTAGTTACTCGGCCAGTGTGCTTAGTGGTTGGTTGTCGACCTATGAACCAGGAGGTCACGGTTCAGTTTCTGGTCAGGGCACATGCTTGGGTTGTGGGCTCAATCCCCAGAGTGGGGCATGCAGGATGCAACCAATCAATGATTCTCTGTCATCATGGATGTTTCTATCTCTCCCTTCCTCTTCCTTCCTGAAATCAATGAAAAAAATATATATTTTAAAATATATTTTTATTGATTTCAGAGAGGAAGGGAGAGGAAGAAAGAGATAGAAACATAAATGATGAGAGAGAATCATTGATCTACCTCCTACACGCCTCCTACAGGTGATCAAGCCTGCAACCCGGACATGTGCCCTTGACTGGAATTGAACCCGGGACCCTTCAGTCTGCAGGCCAACGCTCTATCCGATCAGCCAAACCTGCCAGGGCTGAAAATATATTTTTTAAAAAGTTACTTAGTTTCTAGGTTTTCCATTTGGATAAGATAGTTTCTCTATTGTATATTTCTTCAAATATTTTTGTTCTGATTATTCAGATATTTAAGATTTGTTCTATTGCTTAGCTTATTCATACTGTTTTAGTTTTTTTGCATGTATAAGGCCATTAGGGTGAGACTAGGTTTATTTTCAAAGCCATTAAGAGAGTGAAGGAAGTCGTCAAGGGAGACAGTTATGAATGACTAGTTTAAAAAACAGGAAAAGCAGCCCTAGCCAGTTTGGCTCAGTGGCTAGATTGTTGGCCTGCGGACCGAAGGGTCCCGGGTTCGATTCCAGTTAAGGGCACATACCTCAGTTGCAGGCTCCTCCCTGGCCCAGACCCTGGTTGGGGCGCGTGCAGGAGGTAACCAATCGATCTGTTTCTCTCACATTGATATTACTCTCTGTCTTTCTCTCTCTCTTCCACTCTCTCTAAAAATCAATGGAAAAAATATCCTCAGTTGAGGATTTAAAACCCCCCAAAAAACACGAAAAGTGAAATTTCCAAAGAAACACAATGTGAAGGCAGGGCCATCAGAGAGAAGATAGATAAAATTTGGGGTGGAACGGGGGTGGTAACCGAGGAAGAGAAAAGGAAGGGCCAAGACAGGTAGAGGTGAAGTAATATATCTATTGTGTACCCTGAATAAAGGAGATTTAAAGGCCTGTAAAAGAATGATAAATTAATGAAATTCATCTATTTTTAGGGTAAGATCGCCCCCTACTGACTCTTCATTCTGATTAATACATTCCTAATGTGCTTCAGGAGGCCTGCAGTGCTCAAATCTGGATAAGAACGGGGCTGAAAATCACTGAGCATGTGTGGGTGCTGCTCACTCCTGGGTCGGCTTGACTTTCATTAGGACTTTGGAAAAGATGGTAAAGGATAGTGAATACTTTGTCAGGGAATACTAAGTAACAAAAACATGTATATAGACTTGAAGGTTCCTGGCCTCTGCTTTGATCATAAAATTTAAAATTTTATAGTATATTCAGTCTTAGTAATACTGTGGTTAGGATTGTGGACTCTGAAGTCAGACTGCTGGTTTATACCCGTGCATGTATTTCATGCACTGGGCCTCTAGTGTAAGCCATAAACTCAGTAAGTTAAATGTTTGACTTTTTGTGATGTCTTTTAATTTCCTCACCAGCTTTTTAAAAATATCGATTTTAGAGTGGATGGGAGAGGGAGAGAGAGAGATAGAAATATTAATGATGAAAGAGAATC